TCGCTCGTCCCTGCCTCGTTCAAAGAAGCTGCATCTTCGATGACTGCTGACAGCTCGCTGACGAGCTGCATGTCCTCTTGGCTTGACGGAGATGCTGCCTCCATTGTGATCCTCTCCAGGTCTGTAAACTCCAGCCACTCTCCCTCGCTCTCCTCCTGTCGCTGCGCTGCGTCGCTGGTGCCCCGCTGACCAGCCGCCTCAGAGTCAGGCTCCTTGTCGAAGCCGACTGCTTCGAGCTTGGTTGCTGCGCCTTCGAGATAGAAGGGCAGCTCCTTCATCATGCGTCGAGCATCCTCCGTGGAGCCGAGGAGGATGCATAGCTTGGACCCGTTCCAGGACTTGGTGTTCAAATCCTCCTCCATGTCGATGCCTTCAACGTTGATCTCGAGCCTGTTAGCGATCTCCAACAAGACTCTCTTGACTCTTGCGATAGACGTGTTGCCGCCGTTGCACAGCCCCTCCATCTCCTTCCTCGTGAAGCGACCAGATGCCGCCGTCGACTTGATGATGATCTTGATCTCCTTGCCGTCCTTGCCGCCTGCCTTCTTCTGCATCCTTGATGCCTTCTTCAACTTATTTCTGGACACAAAGCGATCAGCTGTCAACTCGACTGCGAGCGCCTCTCTGATCTTCGGGTCCTCGCTGAACAGAGTCAGGTGTACTCCCTCCATCGCTTCGCTCTCTCGGAAAGCTCGAAATGCTGTATCATTCGCCTCTGGGCAGCTCGAGGAGACGATCCACTCCACCTCCCTCTGTCTCCAGATGACGTTGGCCCCTACAGCGATGAAGCCTTTCTGACCTAAGCCTTTGTGGACTTGCTGTCCTGGCGCCCCAGCGACCAGCATGCCTGCCAGCGGCTGGAGTTGGACCGCTGCAAGGGACTGGCGCAGCAGCTGATAGCGATAGACGGCAGCTATCTCAGCCGTTGTCATGCCGCCCAAGGTTAGCAGGTGAGTCAGCTCTGCCAAGCTGCCCCCTTTGCCCCAGGGTCCTCTCTTGGCTCGAATCTTGAAAGATCGATCGTGCACGATGCTCACATGTACAGCTGTGAACTTGCGACCATCGATCGCGAAGTCCTCTCTTCCCTGCCAGAGCTTCTCCGCTTGTGCATTGCGGAGGAAGGAAACAGTCACCGGGATCTCCTCAGCACTCGCTATCTCGGGTCTATACGAGCCTTCCACATGATTGCTTTACTCTCTGCACTGAGTCTACGATCAGTCCGAT